AGCACTCATGGCGTGCATCCTGTGCAGCCCCCACTTTGATAGCAGTGCACTCACTATATAATAGTCACTCCGGTGGCTGAGTAGGAGCGCCATTTGGTAGTCTTCAGATGCCACGTGTCTATCAGCAAGCCTGTGCTGTGCGTGCATATCTCGCTCTAGCGTCGGGTTGGGGATTGGTGGGCTGTGGAGGTAGGTACTTGGGTTGGGGATGGGCTCAGCATGGTTTGGGGTTGGCCATCAAAACCCTGGGCAGCAACCCAAGAACTGCGCTGCGGAGGCGCTGCCCCTAATTGCCTATTACTTTTTACTCCTGCGGCCAGCCTCATCCCACAGGCCAGCCCGAGCGTTGCAAATACCGATAGCAGCCATCATTCCTTAATTGCTGAAGCCGCAAACCTCTATTGCAGCGCGCCAAATACTACTCTTGGCGGAGGACGAGGGTGCGCATGTAGTGTGATGGCGTGGTTGGCGGAGGAGTGCATTTATCGACGGTTTGGGGTTCACCAGAACCCTGGGCAGCAACCCTAGAACTGCGCAGTCACGGCGTCGCTCTGTGTTTTTTCTTTACTTGCCCGCTAATGGCCTACAGCAAGTACCTCTACGTTGATACTCGTTATTACGGTTCTGTGTTCATCTGTTGTTCTGTTGTTTTGCACTCCAAGGTGCACGCTGGGAGCTTGCTTGCCGAGGCGGCGACGCCAACTGATCTTACGGTCTCTTACCTTCGGTAGTTGGTGGAGGAAAGGAACTTTACCCGCTCGGGTGTTTGCCGACCTCGATGACATGGCGGGCACCTGCTCTTTTTGTTTTCCATTCTGAACTCATTTTCCGCGGCGCCCGCCGGTTTTTTTGCGCGCAGGGCCGCGTCCCCGCAGTCGCAAGAACGCCGCGCGTTCGCACATTAGGTCTGGCCGACGCAAAAAAGAAGACGACGAGCGATGTCGACAGCAAATGGCTCGGGCCTGCGCGGAGTGAACCCCTCCCCTGGGAGCTGCGCCGGCTGGTTTTTGGTGTGTGCATGTGTCTGGCCCGTGCGATGCGTCTCGCATGGCGTGAACGAGATTGCGAGCTCTGCCAGTTCGCTATTTGGTTAGCGATCTACGTCCAAAATGCACGTCCGATCACCTCCCATGGCCCATGTCAGCTTCATCTGTCGCCGCGCTTCCCTGGCGTCGCTCGCCTCGATGGGCGGCGAAGCTTCGCCTTGAGCCTGTTCCCGAATCCGCGTGAGCAGGCTGGTGACCTGATCGCGCCTTAGGCCCTCAGGCGACTGCGAACGTTCCCACCGCTGGCTTTCGCGGTCAAGATCGCCGGTCTCGGAGCTGTCCGATGGCAAGGCGCTAGATCGAACGGGCCGAAACAATGAAAACCAATAGTGGTGCATATTCGGCCCACTCGCAAAACTCTGAAATAGACATGAGCACAGCTGGCCGCTGCCTCCCCTTGGCAAGCCCGCCCGCGAACTCCGATTGCAGCGATGCGGCGCTAGGGGGGCTCCCCGCTGAGACCAGCTGCGCGGGCCCATCTTCCTCGATGCTCGATGGCGCTCCTCGGGAATGCGAGCCGGCAGCTCCTCCGCAGCTTGAATGATTACCTGCGGCTGCTCCCCCTCGTTGACTCTCCTGCGGCGCGGGGGCAGGCCGAGAGGCCTGGCGCCCAGGCGCGGCGTCCAAACGAGTCCACCAGCCGCTCGCCTCATCGCGCAGAGGTGCTGCCCCTGTGGTGTAGTCTGCTGCGCAGTGCCGATGCGACGTTCGGCTGCTTGCCCTCGGGCGCGGGCGGGCGGCGCCCGCTGGCGGCGAGCGCGGGCCGCCTCTTCCGCCGAACGAACATATGCAACGCTTCGAACAGATGCGCGGCGAGTCTGGTGCCCGTGCTCCGAGCCGCGACGGCAACGGGCAACCGGGGGGGGGCTCGAAAGCGTTCCACTGCCCCCCCCCTGCCCAGGAAACTTGAAGCCTGGGAAGGGGGCTGGGGGCCCGCCGACTGGGACGGCGTCTCCCGGGCGATTTCAATAGGTGTTGCGAAGGAGGCCGCGCTAGGTGCATCGCTCTGGGGCCGCTCATTTGACTCCGAATTGCTGGGCCGCGGCTGGGGCCATGCGATAAGTTCGGCAGTGCCCGAAGCGTTGCAGGCGTGGGCCGCGGGCGGGGCATCCGTTTGAAAATTGGGCTCGTCGGCCCGCGGGTCATGCTCGGGTGCCGCCCCAATTGGCGTCGCGCATGGAACTGGCGATCTCGGAGGCCGCGCCGTCCACGTCAGCTGCGACCTCCAGGCTGCCATCCCCCTCTTGCCGACGGGGCGCTAGGCTCCGTCGATTTTCTGGTTGCGCCTGCAGTGCGCGCCGCCTATCTAGCGCCTGCTAGGTCTTACTTGCGCCTGACTTGGGTCCCGCGACGGGCTGCCTCCCGGTCGACCTACCTTGGGGGTGGTGGTGGTGGGGGAGGGGGGGGGGGGGGGGCGAGGAAGCGGGTGGGCATTTGCCGCGGCCGACGAGCTCGATGGATCACCCGTTGCGGGATTCTCATGACACGTCGCAGACTGCGCTGACAGCTCGAGCGCATGCTCTTCCTTTGGGGCAAACGACGGAACTGCCGCGACGGGGTGGCTTCTGACCCCCCCAAAGAGCGCGCGTGCACTCGGCATTGCATCGCGGAATCTGACCGCCAGCGCGCGCGAGAACAGCTGTCCTGACGCGGCCCAAGCAGCGGTAGGATGTCCAGGGCAGCTGGATCGCGGCGATCAGACAGGCAATCGCGCGATTGCGCGCGACATTCAGGTCCCGAGATCCAACCGATGAGTCCGTGGAAGGCCATGCACGCGGCTGGGAATCCTCTGAGGCGCAAGGCCATCGGCGCAAATTCGTCAAGGGCAGATCCTCGATCGGCTATGAGCCCGCGAGCGGCCCTCTCGGCGCAGAGAACTTCAAGTGCATGGTGGTTCCGACCGTAGAAGATGCCCCCCTGCCCCTCGCCCCCCCCGCCAGGCGGCCTACGCTGCGCATGATAGAGCATGGCCCCGCAACGCGATGGGGTAATCGAGCGAGTTCGGGCGCGCCCCCGAGCCGCGTCTCCCGTGCAACTGATGATCGGGGAGGGGAGAAACGACGATCCGGTTGATCTGGTACTCGTGCCAATATTTGAAGTTGCGCCAGCAGCTGTGGCCCCCGAGGCTGGCCCCGTGCTTGTGGCGGCACTGTGGCCGAAGTGCTGGCTCCACTTCTGCGTCGGCGTGGTTGCTGGCGCCGCCGTCGGGGCCATGGCGGTCCCTAGTCGCGCGATCGCTGGTGTTCGGCTCTGACCGCTGGCGCCCGTGCCAGCGCCCTTGGCGGCCCGAGCCTCGAGGGCGGTCTGCGCCGCGTACTTGGCCTTTGACGTGCGAACGGCCTCTCGCGCGAGCTCCTCCTCCTGCGCAGCCGGCGCGGCTGGGGTCGGAGTTCCCGCGGGGCCCGCCTTGCCTTGCGCCGCCGCCGCCGTCGACGCTGGCGCTGCTGGCGGCGCCCAAATGGAGCGCCTCCAGCAGCAGCAGCAGCGCCACTCTCGTCGGACCTCCTCTTCTCGGCCATCCTGTCCTTGATGGGCGCCTGTTCCTTCTGGGCGAGCTCGGCGAACTGCTTCCGCAGCGCGTCCTTCTCCATGACAGCGTTCTTGTTGCAGTCGAGCTCTGGCATCAGCTTGCGCGACTTGGCCTTGTCGACCTCCTCGCACTCCCACTCCTCGAAAGCGGCGAAAAACTCGCTGGCGAAAGCCGCTGGCGCGTCATCCTCGTCGCCCTCGGCAGTCGGATGGAAGCCTTCCGACCTGACCGAAGCTGCTGTGGCGCCTCTCTTGATCGCCTTTGCCTTGGCGACGTCCATCGCCGCCTCCTGTTCTTCTTGCTCCGCCGCCGCCAGCAGGCGACGCAGGCGCGCGACTTGCTGATTGAGTTGGTCGTGCCTGTTGGTCGCATCCTCGAAGGCCCCGTCGGTCTTCTTCGCCTGGTCGACGTCCGAGGCAAAACCGTGCGTCGTCATGGTGTCGAAACGAACGTTCTGCGCCTGCAGCACTGCCTTGAACTCGGGATCCCGAGCCTGCGTCAAGGCCTTCTGAAGGAACTCTGCGATATCATGCTGCGCGTTGCTGCCCCTGCGCCCGCCGCGAAGTGTCCCATTGATCGAGCCGTCCTCCCTTTCGTCAGCGAACCTGACAAGCTTCCCACCAGTTTCCCGACTGGTCGAACGTGTCCTGATGGGCGACTTGAAATGGGCGTACCTTGTGGAACCAGCTACCGCAACGACGCCCATTCGACCGCAGCTCGTCGTTGCATTCGCATGTGTAACAGAAACTGCACTTTGACCATCCTCGTACTGATGTGCCCTTTGTGACACTGGGGAACATCTTGTAAAACGAAATGGTTCCCAGCATTAGTTGGCGCGGGGTGAACGTGGGGGGCAGGCAGGTTGTGAAGTCACTCAAGCCCGTTGAAGTACTGGGGATGTCCAAACCGAAAGCTTTGACCAAAACGGCTTGAACAAACAATTGCCGGGGGAGGAAGAGGACGAAGAGGACGAGGCGGAGGAGGAGGACGAAGAGGAGGAGTTAGGAGGGGCATTGAAGGGGTGGAAGGGAGGAGGGATGAAGAGGGAGGCGGGGGGGGGAGATGGGGGAAATCGACGACGACGACGCCAGCGACGGCGACTGGCGACGAGGATGACGATGAGAAAGGGGAGTGCGGAGTAGAAGGGAGGAGGATGGGGAGAAGAGGGGAGGATGATGTGGCGGATGATGTGGAAGAAGAGGGGGGGAGGAGGGGGAGGAGTGCGAGTTGGAGCACGACGGCGACGACGCAGATCTCCACGCCGCTGCCCCGGCCGCCGAGTGCCGCCAAAGGTCACCGACGGTGGCGACGACGAGGACCAGACGACGACGACGACGACGACGACGACGACGACGACGACGACGACGACGACGACACGACGACGACGACTGGCGGCGGCGGCGGCGCCGACGACCGCGGGCCACCTGCTGGCCGCCGCGTCGTATCCGCCGGCGGTGTGCTGGTAGCCCGCCGACGCCAGCCGCTCGAGCTCGCCAGTCGCCTTCGCCTCCCCGCCATGGAATCGAGCTCTGGGGGCAGAAGTCGGATCGACCTCGTGAGAGGCCTGGGCCACATGTATGCGCCAATGAATGATCGACTCTGCCTTGCAACAACGCCCTGGAAACCTATCAAGGAACTTCGCTGTGCCAGCGTGCTGGCAGGAACGCCGCGCTGGCGGAAGGAGGGAGTGGGGGAGTAAAGCTGGCACAAGCGTGGCTCCTCAAGGGTGACCCTATCGTCTTCGTGTGTTGGTTTCTCCGCCCCAGGATGTTCTTCGTCTGGGGTGCCCCCGGCGAAGATGGTCTGGATCACGCACGGGGGGGGAACGCGGCTGGAATGTAACGAGATGGGTGGACGGCCCACCCATCTCTGCGGACACAAGCTTGGTTTTGGGCTGTCCCGTGGGCCAATGCATGGCAATCTGTTGAGCATGACGTTCGGCACCTTCTCTTGTGGAGCACGACGTATTTGCTCGGGTGACACATGGCAGCTGTCATGGCTCGCTGGATTCAACTCACCCAATCTGCGCACTTACGTCAGCAAACACCCAACAACTTAAAATGGGAAGGTCGGGAAGCCATCGTATCGAGCTCGACTTCTGCAACGGCAGACTTGGCCCAGAGTGTGCATCTGCATGGATCCATGAAATATTGACGGACTCCTACACGACTCATAGGACTTCGCATGCTCTGTCTAGTCACTCGTTCGACTAGCACCCATGATACAATTCGCTGCCACATCTCTTGGGTCGCCCAGAACTCCGCCGACCCTGTTTGCGTGCGGACCCCCTGTCGGCGTGCGCTCAGTCGACGCATCCGTTGCCCTCTTTCCCTGCGTCTCCGTCGTCACCTCTCCCTGCACCCTCCTCTTCAAGCCTGCCAGCGAGAGAAAACTGTAGCAACGCCGTAGTTAAGTCGATGGGGAGCCCTTCCCTTTGATCCCTCCCCCGCCGGGGGGGGGGTCACGGGGGGCGTCCCGGGGGGGTCCCGGGGGGGGGGGGGGGGTCAGATATGCATCCGCCCCTGGGCATCCCAGAGCCCCAAAAAGCGCCAAGACTCGCCGAGAGGACCCCGAGCAGGCCCAAGAAGAGGACCACGAACCGACATTTCGAGCTCCCCGCCCTAAGAAGCCCCCGGAAGGCCCCAAGAGCCCCTCAAGGGGCCCGAAGAGGCCCCCAAGAGACTCCCAAGAGGCCCAAAAGAGGCCCCAACAGGCCCGAAAACATCCAAGAGGCCTTTCAATCAGAACCCCAGCACGGTGGCGAGAAAGGAAGCAGGCCACAAGGCTCCCTGTCTGTCTCTGCTACGACTCCCTCGGCCCACGTGGGGAACGTCTCCTTCGCCTTCTCCTGCTCCCTTCCACCTTAATCCCCCTTCTCCTCCTCCTCCTCTGATTCGCCGTCGTCGTCGTCTTCAGGGTCGGCGGCACCGGCCGTAAGGCCTTTAGCAGTCATTGCAGGGCAAGGATGAGCGTTGCGTTTTCAGGGCCCACTCCAATAATACCTGGCCGCCAACTTTGTGAGCCCATCTGACAGCTTCGACTGCTGCGTCGGTATCTACAATTTTCTCAGACATGTGCAACGACGATTCCGAGCAGCAAGCTGGTGAGCATCACGGCATGTTGCAAGGCCCCTGCGAGCTCCTTGTCCAAGGCATTGGCCCACAAGTCGAGCCCGATCTTGAATTTACCCCAGATTCTGAACATTCGGGTCGTCAAACCTGTGCAGACCCTCGAATGTTTCCGTCAAGGCCATGGCTGGGAGGGGCGGTTAACATCGAATCGATACATCGGATCGGATCGGAACAATTATCAACTCGGGACTCATCGGCACGGAGTCGGAGTTGAATCGGATCGGCCGCGCCAAGATGCACAACAGCGCCACGCAACATCGGGACGCGTCGGGTGGCCCAGCTGTCGACATCGAATCGGATCGGACTGGCCGAGATTAGACATCGGATCGGGTCGATCGGATCGGAGTGGACCGACCCGAGCGCGTGCTGTGATCCGAAGCCATGCCGCGCAGGGCCCAGGCGTTTGCCGCGAGGCCTACGCCGGGGCGCAGCCTCACAAGACGAAGGCAGGGCGAGGACAAATTCGTCTTAGGCTAAATCGGAGATCCCTGAGATCCAGCGGGTCTGGAGGATGTATCGGGCGCCGCGGCCTCTCTTGAGCGTTTCGGGACGCTTTGATGCTCTGGAGCAGTTTATCCTCATCTTGGGCCTGTCTGGTCACCCGAGCATCTACTTTCTCGGCGCAGTGCTTGCCAAAGGGGGAGGATGAAGCGGAGGCGGCGATCGACTGGCAAGCCACAACTCACACATGCAGGCGTCTCGCGGGCGCGAGCGAGTGCAGTGAAGCGGCGAGACAGCTAGCCGGAGCACGCCCAGTCGGCTGACCGAGATGAAGAGACGAGGCCGCCATCGGGTCATAGCAGAACGTCCGAGCTCATGCTACCGTCCCCTTCTCCTCCTCCTCCCTCGCCCCCTGCTCCCGCCACCCTCCTCCCATCACCCCCGCGCGCGCTCCCGCGCGCAGGGAGGAGGGCGGGTCGAGGGAGGAGAACGAGGGAGCGGGAGAAAAAACTGGGACAACATTTGTCCCAACGCTCGTCGATTTTTTCTGCCATCCCGAAGCACCCCCTTTCCAGGGACCTCTGGAGACGCTCGGGAGAGGGGGGAGGGGCTGGGAGAGATTATGAAGTTGCGCGACATGGAGGCGCCATAACGTTCCCCGACAACGCCTCGTGAGGACAAGAGCCACGGCGCGACCGATGACGGCTCGCCTCTCAGGCTCGAGAAAGCAAGTATGTAAACGCAGCATCCCCAAGTGTCGCGCCGCGGCGCACCGCGGCCGAGGCTACTGCAGGGGGGGAATTCGTCACGTTTTTACCCCCTGCGAGGGGGGAGCAGGAGTGGGGAGGAGGGGTACGAGGATGAGAAGGGGAAGGAGAATTAAGGAGGAGGGAGGACGGGCAGGAGAAGGGGAGGGGAGCAGCAGAGGAGCCAGAAGAAGCCCAGAATGCATCAACGATGCCGCAGTACACCCTCCCGTCCCAAGCCCCCTCCTCATGAATCCCTGCATCCGTTCCCCTGCGGGAAGCCCCCCTTTTGAATGAGGAGCTCCCTGTGGGACTGCCACGCAAGGGACCCACCATCAATCCTTCCAGCTTGAAGAGACGCAGAGAGGCATGATGTGGAAATGCAGAATGTGTCAAGCGATGCGATCGTTTTGCAAGGATCGTCTCCGTCTATGTGGTACAAAAATAAGATTTTGTATCTGCGGAAATCTCAGGCGAGAGCCCGAATTTGAAAAAGATCGGCCCTCAATTCTTGCAACTGTCGCGAACATTCGAACTGATGCAAGCCTTCAAACCGAATGAGCGCGGCGTTATAACGCGAGAATCCTTGTAGTGGTTGAAGCATTCAAGGCGAATGGACACAACGCTAAGACGAGAGCTCCATTCGGAAAATAAGCGGTCCACTATCCTCACAACTGTCGCAACATATAGAAACGCATGGGCGCAGACTCAAGACGATAACCGCATTCTGAAAACGACTGGCCCTCCATCCTTGAACTGGATGAACGTTTGAAGACGAGTGTGCGCGGCGCTACGCCCCGAACTCCATTTTTTAAACGACCAATCTTCTATCCGTGATCGTTGGTGTTTCAAGCTTCAGGAATCAAATTCTGTATTTGTATCCGCCATCTTGCGCTGAGGCATGAGTTGGAGTGTCCTCAGGTCCCTTGGAATTCTTCGTCCACCATGCAGGGTATATATGTATACACAAATATATAAGAGTAAAGGGGGCTGTACCACAACATCTCACATTTCCTGGGGCACGTCGTGGTTTCCCACATGACTTTGTCGGAGCCCAAGGGGGCCCCAAGGCGAACCAAGAGGGCCCCAGGAAACCCACAACACGGTCCAAGACAGGCTCAAGTCGCCGAAAGATCGCTCCAAGACGGTCTCCAGACGGTCCAAGAGGTCCCCAAGACGCCTGAAGAGGGCTCCCATGGCACTTCCAAGAGGGCCCCGCGAGGCAAAACGTATTGAGCGCCCTTGGGGCCTGGACGGATTTTAGCGTTCTAGCTTTTTCGGGCTGTCGGCGCTCCAAGACAACCCAAGAGGCCTCCAATATCGCCTCAAGACGACGGCCCAATAGGGCTTCAAAACGGCTCAAGCGGGCCCCAAGAAGGCTCACGAAGCCCCCATGACGATCGAACCTGAACGGACATTTCGAGTCCTCCGCCCCAAGATGACCCCAAGAGCTTCCCAGAGGCCCCCGAGACTCCTCCCAAGAGGCCCAAGGAGGCCCCAACGAGGCCCAAATCAAGCTCCAAGATGCTCCGAAGAGGCACCCGAGAGGCTCCCAAACCGCCTCCAAGCGGCTCCCGAGAGGCCTCTCAAGAGATCCCCGCAAGCATCCAAGGGGCCTCTGACCTACAACCTATTTCGATGGCCTCCAACCTGACCCGCCTGCCATTCAGAAGTACACACAAGGCGGGAACAAAACAAGACAACTCGCCTCCAGGACGGGCAAGATGGCCTCAAGATGGCTTCCAAGGCGTTGAAGACTGTCCAAGATGCCCCGAATATATGGTTCCCAAGGTGCCTCCTGCTCGTCCTCCCCATAACCCTCCTGCCCCTCTGCTCCCCCGCCTCCTCGCCAATGCTTACTCTCGCGAGGCTTCACTGGACAAGGGCAGCTCCCAGGCCGCGACCCGCGAAGCTTGATCCCCTTCGCTGCACTGGGGATGTCCCAGGCGCATCGCATAAAACACAGGCTTTCGGAGGTCCCCGCGGTCTTCTTGGATGGGCGCTGGACCCCCTCCCAGGCGCGCGGAGCGCGCCAGGGCGGCGCCCGAGACGCAGGGGGGACCGGCGCCGACCCAAGACGTCTGCCTATGACTAGGGACTAGGAGCGCCACAGGAGGAACAGAGTGGCTGTGGTGGCCACAGCGAGCCCCGGCAAACGAGCAAGCACCCTTCCTGTGGATCGAAGCAGTGGCCCGAGCATCGGGGCCGCCCCCTAGACCCAAACCGAACGGTCCTTGGTTTTCGCCCCTGACTGTACGCCGACACTTCTGCTACGATTCTCCTCTCGTCCGTGCTTGGCCGCCGCGACCTCCGCGCGGCGCGCCCTCCCGCTCCCACCCTCTCGAGGATGTCCGACACCTGCTCCGCCTGGGCCATGCTCGCCTGCACCTGGCGGGGCTCTCTCGCCTCAGCTGCTGCATCACAACGCCTCGCGGTACAAACCATCGTGCTACCGTAAGGGGCGCTGAGCAAAGAACGTAAGCCTTGCGTTCCCTTACACTGCCCATATGATGGTGCTGGACTTGTTAGCTCGCGCGCGTGCCGCAAGCACCATGAACCACGTGACAAGAGATTGCGGAAGAAACCCGCAACCCCAATCGAAGAGGGGTGAGGGCCGACGCTCCACTCCACCGCGCTGAGCCGCCCACTCCGGAAAACCAAAGGTCTTTTCTGGGGCGGGCCTCGGCCCATCACACATACCCTGCCGCAGGTCGAAGGAGCGGCCCGAACACCAGAGCCCCTCCAGGAGGGGCTCTGGCTCTCAGGGGGAGCCCTCCCGAGCCCAGGCCTGCGAGCATTTCTCATCTTCTTGGCTGTACAGTTTGCGAACGGAGAGCGACGTGCGGCAACGAACAGACGCAGGAAATCTCTCAATTCCAAGCGTCGGGACGGAAACATCAGCCAGATTTGTGGGGCACGCGCGGACCAGTCCGGCCTGAGGAATGCCCGGGGAAGATGGGGCGAGTGTTCTGGTTGTGATATGGCATGTCTCAAACATCCTACGCCACTTTTTTCACGTGCCCCCCCCCTCGGATCTCTCGACATCTTCCTGGACAGTTATTTGACAGTGGATCGTTTTTTGATGATCCCAGGGCCCGTGGTCTTCGATAGTCTCCCAAAACTGAGAGCAGATTGCAAACTGTAGCTATACGCCCGTGTCCATGACGGTTTGCAGAAACAAAAACGCCATAGGAGCAAATCCGCCGACCATGTCGGCGTGTGCGGGGTGTCTGTCCGGTCCCGTCGACGGGGAGCCGCCTTCTTTCGTCCCCTCCTTCCCATTCTCCTCTCCTGTCGGGGGAGAGAGAGAGAGAGAGAGAGAGAGAACGAGAGAGAGAGTACCCGTCCTTGTTCGGGGAACGGGTTCGCAGCTTGAGGGAATTCCATCCACGTCCTCATCACGTCAAAGGAAGCCCCTTCCCCTTGTCCCTTCCCCGGCGGGGGGGGGTCAGATTCGCATCGCCTCTGGGGGTCCTCCTCTTCCACGCCGGTCCTTCTCCGGCGCGCCGGTCCTCCTCGAGTCCTCCTCCCCAGGTGGAGAGGAGTCACAGGGGGGGGAGGGGAGTCAGATACGCATCCGTCCCTGGGGGTCCTCCTCCTCCTCCTCCCCTCCCCTCTCCCACGCAGGTCCTCCTCCGGTCCTCCTCCCCAGGGAGGGGTCCTATTCCTCCCAGGCCTTCACAATATATGGTGTATGTGCTGATGCAGTATTATATCGATCTATCTATTTATCTATCTATCTATCTATCTATCTATCTATCTATCTATCTATCTATATATATACACATATGTATGTATGTATGTATGTATGTATGCATGCATGCATGCATGCATGCATGCATGCATGCATGTATGTATGTATGTATGTATGTATGTGTGTATATATATATATATATATATATATGATACACCACCCTGCCTCGAGGCACGAAGTGGAGTTACCCCCAGGCTCTCCTGTGTTCTCTGTCCTGAATCCTGGATTCCAGTAGCGGGCCCACACCATGCATTTCCAGACTGTTCGGGCTCCAGTTAGCAGAGCGGCGCTGTGCAAATTTGCCTCAAAGCTTACGTGTTGGCTGCTCCTCCCCTCATTCGCAGAGCGCTGCTCTGCAAGTTGGCCTCAAAGCAGGGTTCCCCATCCTGCTCGGGCTCTGATTAGCAGAGCGCCACTCTGCTAGGTGGCCTCAGAGCATGTGCGCGCTCATTACTCCTCCTCTCATGGGCAGAGCACCGCTCTGCTAATCCCACCAGCCCTCTGGGCGTCGGTGGTTTAGAGCGTTTCCTCTTCCACCCCTCCTTCTTCCCCTTCGGGGAGGGGTTTACCCCTCCCCCTACCCCCTCCCCACTGACTTGGACAGGAGGGGCGGGGAGCGGTCAGAGCGTCCAAAGCGGCCTCGGCGAGGAAGCCAAAATCATTGATTTTACTATGGTTTGGGCCCCATTTTGGCCTTCTGAGGGGGCAACACTAATTAAGGCTCCCCTCTTCTTTGATCGATTTCCTCCACGATGGCCGCAAGAGGCCCCCAGGATGCCCCAAGAGGCCGCAGGATGGCCCCAAGATGGCCCCAAGAGGCCCCCCAAGAGGCCCCCAGGAGGCCCCCAAGAGACCCCCAAGAGACCCCAAGAGACCCCCCAGAGGCACCCAAGGTGCTCCCAGAGGCCCCAAGATGGCCCCAAGAGGCCCCCAGGAGGCCCCAAAGAGGATCCCGAACGGCCCACAGAGGCCCCTCCGAGGCATCCAAGACGCCGAAAAGCCCCTCAGGACGACCCTCTACTCGCCTGAGCGTCGTTTCTGGACGGGCTGGTGGGGATACGCGAAGCGTCTAGAATTTGACTCAGGGCGCGCGCGCTCGCTGCTCATGCTCTATTCGCCCGAAAGGTGCTCTGCTAATTGCTCCCCCGGGCGCCCTGTGAACACTATGGCGCCCAAGAGCGCTCCAAGAGGCCCAGGAGTCCCAAGAGGTCCAAGAGCGCTCCAAGACGCTCAACTGGACACCCAGGGGGGTCCAAAAAGGCACAAATCATTGAGTATACATATTTTCAATGTTTTTCGTGTTCTCGGGCTTCCGACGCTCCAAGATAACCCCAAAAGCCTCCAAGACCGCCCCAAGACGGCTCAGGAGACTCTCAAGCAGGGCTGGGCCTAAACGTTGTTTTTCGTTTCGTGTTCGTCTTGGTTTTCGCTCTGCTCTACCTGCTTTCCTGTACCTCCTCGCCAAAACGAAACACAAAATACAGCCGACGTCCAGCAAAACAGCGTTTAGGTCCAGCCCTGCCCTCAAGAGGGCCACAAGACAGTCTAAGAGGGCCCCAAAACGGCCGAAGAGGCGCGCGAGATCGCCCAAGAGGGCTCAAGAACGGCCCCAAGAGGGGCCCCAAAAGGGGAACACGATCGACAATTCGAGCCTTCCGCCCCAAGAGGCTCCCAGGATGCCCCAAGAGGCGCCCGAAAGAGACCAAGAGGCCCCCCAGAGGCTCCACGAATTCCCCGAAGGGCCCAACATGATGCCCCAAGATGTCCTCAAACGGCCCCCCAAAGCTTCAAAACTGCCTCCAACAAGCTCCCGAGGGCCCCCCCGCGATATCCAAACGAACACCCAAGAGACACCTAACTCCACCCAGGCACGGCGGCGGGATGGGCCGAAGGGCCAGCCACTACATTTTCTTACATACGGATGCTTATATGTGTATGTATATATCTATACACACACTAGAAGCACGCGCGCGCTTCGCGCGCGCTCAGATTCTAGTCAGAGCTGATTCAGGACTGCCCCCGCCACTACGGTGAATTCCAACACGCTGTATCTCTGGCGAGCTCGGTCGGGACCGCGAAGTCATCATACACTGCCTCCGTCGCCAACATTGGTCTCCAACCACGCAACTTCGCGCTCGCGTAGGTTTTACCTTAAACATACCCGATTGCAAACTCGATTTTGGACGACGCGGCGACCTCTGGAAAATTCGGAGGCGCGTCACGGCGGATCTCGAGGGGCGCCCGCGAGGCCTCCAGAGCCGTCTGGGGCACCTTTTGGGCCGTCTCGGCGCTCGCTTGGGGGCCTTTGAGGCCGTCTTGGGGCGATACTTGCGGCTTCCTGGGCCGTCTTGCAGCGTCTCCAAGCCGAAAAGGTAAGAACTCCCAAATCCTTCCAAACTGAAAGGACAATCCATCACTTGTGCCTCTAGAGCGCCTCTTGGGAGACCTGTTGGGGGCGTCTTGGAGCGTCTTGGAATCCTCTTAGGCCTTCTGGAAGCCATCGTCCGTTTCTTGGAGCGGAATATCGACGATTCTCTGCCCTCAAGGGGCGTTTTGGGGCTCCTTGGAGCCCTAGCGTTCTGTTTTGGTGGCTGTCTTGGGCCGTCTGGCCCAGAAGCCCAGGACGCCCACAAAGAGCGTTTTTCGGCCGTCTCGGCGGCCTCTGAGGCCGTGCTGGGGCGATACTTGGGGCGTCTAGGACCGTGTTGGAGCGTCGTGAAGCCGACAATGGAGAAACGCTGAAATCCAACAAAAACCTCAGGATACAATTCATGTTGCCTCCTGGGGCCCTCTTGAAAGGCCTCTTGGAGCTTGGGGCGTGTTGGAGGCCCCGTGGGCCGTCCGGATGCCATCGTGGGCGTCTTGGAGCGGGGTCCGCGATTCTCGGCCCTTTTGGAGCCTTTTGGGGCCTCTTGGGACCCTGGTGTCCTGTTTTGGTGGCTGTCTTGGGCCGTCTGGGGGCGTCCCCAGAGGCCTGGGACGCCCATAAAGCATAAAGCGTCTGGGCCGTTCTCTTCTGAGGCCGTGCTGGGGGGATGCTTGGGGTGTTTAGGACCGTGTTGGGGCGTCTGGAAGCTGAAAATCCAGACACACTGAAATCAAGCAACATGCTCAGGAACATCATATAATTTTGCCTCCTGGGGCCCTCATGGAAGGCCTCTTGAAGTTCTCTTGGGGCGTGTTGGAGGTTCCTGGGGCCGTCCGGATGCCATCGTGGGCGTCTTGGAGCGGGATTTCGGCGATTCTCGGCTCGTTTGGAGCGTTTTGGGGCCTCTGGGAACCCTGGTGTTCTGTTTTGGTGACTGTGTTGGGCCGTCTGGGGGCGTCCCCGAAGCCCTGGACGCCCGTAGAGCGCCTTTGTCGGTTGTATCGGCGCCCGCGTGGGGGCCTCTGACGCCGTGCTGGGGCGATCCTTGGGGCGTCTAGGACCGTGTTGGGGCGTCTGGAAGCTGAACGTACAGAAAGGCTAGATTCAAGCAAACATCTTAGGACAATCATAAAAATTTGCCGCCTGGGGACCTCTTGGAAGGCCTCTCGGTGGCTTCTTGGGGCGTGTTGGGGGCCCCGTGAGCCGTCCGGAAACCATCGTGGGCGTCTTGGAGCGGGATTTCGGCGATTCTCGGCCCATTTGGGG